TGATTCTGATTGTTCTAAGTAATAATTGCTTTAACTTGTTGTAAGATTTTAGTTAATGATACAAATCAGAAATAAAATAAAATAATTAATTGATTAATTGACAACTAATTGACTTAACTTTCTAGACACCAACTAATTGATTAATCGATTAATTGACTAATTGACTAATTGATTAGTTGCACTAATCGACTAAAGAACTATTTGATTAATTGCAAAGAATCAATTGAAAAATTATTTATTTACTTAATGAATTAGTTGCAACCAACTGAAAAAATAATATCGATATTATTTGTTATTGACTGTCAGCCCGAATCGTTATTGCATACCGTATACCCGCGAAATAACACATATGAGCGTTATTTCGCGGGTATACGGCAATATAGTTATATATTTATTAAATCCCATTCAGGTTTTTTCTTGTCATTAGTCACGTACACAACCTGCATTTTCTTAATCCAAGACGCGATTCTTGCAAAATACCAGAAATTTAAAACTATTGGTATTGATTTATAATGACTTGTATGTTTTTGAACTTATTTGCACAATCAGTAGATCATAACATGATACAAGTCTTTAACACAGCAATGGTCAATGCTATTTAGGGTTTCTTAATTCAGAAGCCCGTAGGAAATTTAATAAATAATTGATGTTTTTTAAAGCTAGATGATTCGAAATATTTGACAAGTTATAATAATAATAATATGAAAATAAAAACATTGATATATATAGTATAAACAAAGACAATTTGACAATATATATATGCAATATTATTAAATATATTACTAATATAAACATAAGGAGAAGGTCCAATGATTATTTTTTGCTGTGCTGGCTGCAAACAGCATATAGAAACAAAATTTAGTGCATATCTTCTTGAACTGATGTGCGGATACCGTAGAGGAAAACTTAATATTTTATACATAGTGCGCACGGTTGCTCGTAGCTTTTCTTTATTTGCAACACAGAAAAAGTTTCCAATTGTGCGGCATCCGCAGTAAATTTTAACTGAAAAATTAGCGTGAAGAAAGACTATTCGTTCGAAAATGACCCCTAGATTTTTCCATTGCCGCAAAATAACGATGCGGAATATGATTTCGAAGCATCGAAAGTATTGGTAATCTAAGTAAATTCTCGTAAGGAAGTAAAGCTTGATCATAAATAGAAGAATTATTTTTTACTGGCTGATTTGTATTTAAAGTATCTTCATTAAACATTAATTTCCATTCATTCCAAGTTAACTCCTGATTGGTATCTATGGAATCGTCTGGAGGATCAAAAATAATTTGATCAGCTCTAGGTTTTGCCTTCCTGTGAAAGAATTTGACTGTATCTCCAACATGAAAATAATTCATAATGTCGTTTGTAGCAAGATATTGACGTAGAGCACGCATTGCATTATTATGTGGAGGTAAATGTGGTGCGATATCTTGTTCGCAAACTATGCGCCAAAGCGTTGAATTACTTTCATTATATCGCGATGAAAATTCGGATGAAAAATTACTATCACCAACAGCTAGGGCTGCAAATGAATAAACATCTCTGAGAACGCAATCATCACTCAAAATATTAGGTAATTTCAATAATCTTGCATAAAACAATGTTGCCAAAGAGGCACCAAGTGAGTGACCTGTTATCCAAATATTAACAGGTTCTGTTTTCTTATTCTTACTGCGAATTTCCTTGGCTTTAACATTGATAGCTTCAATTATTCTCAAATGAGGAAACCCTTTTTTTGCTAATATTGAACCTGCATGATCTTTTGGGAATAAACAGTTGTAAAATCCTTCATGCACTCCACCGAATATGAATCCTCTTCCATCCTTTCTTTGGAATGTAAAGTTAACTACTAATTCTAAAAAATTTGTTGGACTTGTACCTTTAAATGAGACTACAATAAAATTTTGTTCAACACTCCAAAATAGTCCTGCATAAACGCCTTTGGAAGTACTTAATTCAGATACGGATTTAAATTTAATATTCCAATTATCAACTATTTTACGAACTCCATTATCGGCATTATCAAGTGCATGAAAAACTTGTTCAATATCTGCCTTTTCAACGTTCTCTTTTTTGCTTAAATTATCTTGAATTTGTGATAGATACTTTACTGCTTTACGAATTTCTATTTCTTCACGTAGATAAACAACTGAGGATAAAAACAAAAGCATTTCCGCTAAATCGAGATCAAACCTTGGCTTTCGTGAAGTGTATACTGGTTTACTCAATGCAGTTATACCTCTATCCCTAATTGATTCTTATATAATAAAAAAAAAAACATATTATATTGATATATGATTATTTAATTATTGAATATTTGAATATTTAAAGGTAAATAATTATTATATAATTGAATATTTGAATTAGTGGTTGGAACCGGTTTTAATAATTCTGGTTTATCACGTGAATTTTGCGATATTTTAGAAATTTATCCAATTAAATTTTAATAAATTCTAAAATATCACAAAAATTATGTGATAAACCCGAATTATTAAAACCGGTTCCAACCTCTAATTTGAATATTTAAATATTAAATAATTTACTTAGGTCTTCAGTTGTTAATTTTTGCCATCCTATTTCGTCATATAAATTAAATTCCATTCCCATAATAGCCCCAATGCTTAAGAATAATGTTGCAGGAAGAAGAAAACATACACTCGCAAAATAAATTAAAATGATCGTTATGAAATTGAAAGGTTGTGTAATTGGCAGAGTCCAATTGGTTACCATCATTAAAAAAAAGTGCATGAAAACATCTTTGAGATAAACAATGAATGTCCATACAGAATCAACTAAAGGTTCAAGCTTTATTAAACTTTCAGGAAGATATCCTTCCTTGGGAATAGTGGTTAAATCTTTAATATATAACTGATCATCTATCGAAATTTCATCATTCATGTTAAAGCTACGAATGGCTGTGTCTTTCTTGTTTACGAGAAATTCAGTCGCCATTTTGCGTTCTCACTCACTTAGAGTATTATTAATTAATGAGATTTTTTGAATAGCTTGGTGTGTTAAATAAAATCACCTCAAGACCTATGAATTCAACTTTTAAATTATTAGTAGAGATCTGCATAATGATAAAGTCAAAAGACATTTCCACGCATGAAAATTCTAAAAATGTGTAAATTATTTTCCTTGTTTATTCCGTTTAGATCACTAAAAATGCATTGTGTGAACATCGATCTAAATTTTTACAAAAAGCACATGAGGATTATCAAGTCCGGATTCCGCTGTCTTGTGATATCACATTTTTATCTTACAAAATGCAAGAAAATGGAAATCGATATCTGCTCCTTATATGAGACTACATTATGATGCTGTATGTCATATGTCACGAGCTGGAAAAAAGGTAGCTCTCTTGGAAAAAGGTATATTATATATCAATGTTCCTATCATTATCTTAATTAGTAATATCAATTATCGTTATACGTACATATATACATAAAAATATATGCATATATCTAACAATTTTACTTACCTACAACAATTATTGACCGATCGTTCTAACCAGGTCAGGAAAGATGGCCAGGAGAATACTCAAGTGAATCAACTGAATGTTTAAAGCAGTACAATATAGCGATAGGTCTGCTTCTGGACATAAAAGGTAGGATATGGATAAGTATTATTACGTAATTTGTAAATAATTTTCTTATCTATTATAGACTTGGAGGTACCTCGCTTGTGAACACAAATGTGGCTCTTGAGGCAGGTCCACGTGTTTGGAAAATGACTGCTTGGCCAATGGGTAACCTCTGTAGCTC